CAGGCAGGTTAGTCTGTGAGATTCTTATCTCCAATAAGCCACTCAGAAAACACTTGAAGTGAAGATGTGGCTCAAGTGGTAGAGCACTAGTCTTGAGCACAAACAGGCTCAGGGATCTGCTGGGCCCTGAGTTCAAGCCCCAAGAACGGCAAAATAAATAAATAAATAAATAAAGATTAAACTCCCCTAATCCCATTTTGCTCTCTGCAGACGTGTACACTAACAGACCTAGTCGGCTCTGGCACTGAGGTATACAATGCTTCTCAGTCTTGCCTCACAAACTTACTCAGCAGGAACTTTCCAAATAGACCATGCTGGCTGTTCTAAAGAAAAATTCCAATTCCAAGTCTTTGAACAGTTCCTCACTAAAATTCCCACCTACCCTGTAATTGCTGCCTTCCACTGTTGGTTTTGCATGTGTCTACTGCACAAACAAAGAGCATCACATTCACTTTTGGTCGCTGGTTATCTTAAAAACCAGATTTGCCTCCTGGTTTCTTGCTGGAGCACCTTTTGTATACAAATCTGTCTGACATAGTCCTAAGCATAGAGATGACTTTAAGCTTGATTACTAATGAGCAAAAAATTAATGGCTCCAGGCCAAAATGGTCCTATTTAGAAGATACCTCAGAGTACAGACATGGCTTCTGTGAAACCTCGCTCACTGGGCTGCGTGTGTCCTAGACCAGCTCACACGGGGGCACTTGGGTCTTCTAGACATGCGCTGGTGCTTGGCCTACGGTAGAGCAGCACTGCGACAGCTTCAAAGCTTGAGACACAGCCAGGCACCGCGGCGCACGCCTACAGTCCCAGCCACCTTTCAAGAGGCTGAGATCTGAGGCCTGTGGTTCGAAACCAGCCTAGGCAAGAAAGTCTGTGAGTTTTTTCTCCAATACACAAACGACTCAGAAAAGAAAGTCGGAAGTGGAGCTGAGGCTGCAGCCAGAGCGCTGGCCCTGGGCGAGCCGCGGCCGGGCCGCCTGCCCCGAGCCTGGAAGGCCGCG